CCCCCCCCCCCCCATAATGTGCACCATTAACGCCCACTTCTGGATGTGCACTAAGAGAAACTAACCTCCCCCCGGAACGTGCATTACAAGCAGCTGCCCCCCGTGCCTTCACCTAAGATGGTGAGACATCTAGGAGCAAGCGCCCCTGGTGGTCACTATTATGTTTTACATATGTCTGTACAGCATCTCTTATATTTTTTATATTTTATAAGTATTCTTTGCCAGATCTGCAAGAAATCCAATTGCATGGCCTGCTGGTATATGACAAGTGTTCGGGACTAAGAGCTCATGTCGACAGGTATTGTGTTCCTGTTTGGATTGCACCTCAAAAGCAGGTCAGCAAAATCTCATTGACTTGAAAGCGGACCTTTACACTCACAAGTCAAATTCTACCAATGCACCCCTCTATGTATGAGGATTAATAATAACATAGACATGTCAGGTGTAAAATGCTGTCATTATTAAATACTTACACTTGCAGAACATTCATTTCCTGCTTTGAAAGTGCAAATTACTTCAGGTTGCCAAAGCAATGCACACTGGGATTGCCTTGTCATCAGCAGAGCATTGCTGGGGAATCTCAGGAGATCTCAGGGAAAGGCATTTTCCTCCCCTGAGATGATGTGCATGGTCACATGTCCTAGTCACATGTGCCAGTAATCCAGGAAGTAATAGGAGAGCTAGTAATCTGCCCTTAGTAAACATGGCCACTGTTAGAAGACTGGGGAAGCCGGCAATTATCTAGAAGTATGTGTTTCTAGATTGTCATTACTAATCATTTGTAAAGGTGTCTTTGTTGTTATTTTGAAGATATGGGTAAAGGTTCGCTTTAACTGAGAAGTACACATCAGTTCATAGGCTGCGTTTAACCGGCTTTGCGTTGTGCTGCCTTTCTTTAGACGCAGAACTTCCTATTAAGGTGCATTTGAAATGCAGGAATGCAAGGTCAATTGCCGCCTGTTCTTGTCAAACGCTGCTTTTTCCATTCAAATGCAGCTACATGCGTTGAATAGAAAACAAAGTGTTTGACTATAACGTCTGTTAACATGTACCAGAACCCACTGTTATATAATTTACAACCTGATAGTGTTCATGTGAAGTTATACGGTATGTTCCAAGTCCTTTTTTTGGGGGTGGGGGGAGACGACCTGTAAAATTTCAAGTACAATATTCTTATATTTGCAAATGTATGAGTTCCTTAACACCATGTTAACAGCTGTCATCGGTTCCCCTCCAGATCCTTCTTTATGTCAATGTTGTGTATTATGTGTTTTATTTTCTTGCTACACTACTTATGATCATTTATAAAAGTAAGTATTAAGACTCATGGAAAACACCTAGTCAGTGCCTAGTAAAAGTTATTAGACATTACCACGTGATAACAAGAATCTGGTTTAAATTCTGTAATTTGCACAGGAGGGCTTATTTACTAAAGGAGTAGCGCATGTTCACTTCACAAACTGAATTTTCATTTTGGAAGAAAATTTTTACTTAGCTTCATGTGGTAAAAATCCACCTTGCAAAGGATACCCAATCACATGAATGGAAAATCTAAAAAACAAACAAACAGGATTTCTTACGCGCCCATTAGGAAGTCTTTCACCTTCAGGTTATACGGCCCCCTGTAGGAGGATTGTTTAGCGCCTTGGTTCTCAACTGGTGGGTCTTGGGGGTCGCCGCATGCCTTCCACTTTTCTAAGTGAGAGACTCCTCAGCCTCCCCCTAGAGCAGACCTGTCAGTTCTCGCACCAAGCAGCCAGCGCCGAGTGTCAGCTTGGGGTGGGGTGGGATGGGTCTATGGCCATGAGGGAGCTCCATCCATACACGCATTGCTTACAGCTCCCTCATATGTCCTGTAGAGGTGCCTGGACCGGAGTGATGTCACATTCTGGCTCCTGGCACCTCTACAGGGCGCGCTAGGGAGCTGTACAAGCAATGCACATATGGATGGAGCTCCATTACAGCACAGCAGCCCACACTGGTCCCCAGGCTGAGGATCCACTCCAGTTCTCATAAGATAGGCAGACTGGGTGGATCTAGAAGAAAAAAAATACATTTTTGGGGGGAGTGTGTATGTGTGTGAGAATGTGAGATTGTGTCTGTGGCTGTGTGTGTCTGTCAGTGTTTTTGAGGGCCCATTCACACTTCTACAGTGCGTTAATCACACAGTCCCGTGTGATTAACCCACTGTACCACGCAAAATCGCACCTACCACAAATCCTTGTGTGGGAGGTATGTTGCATTGCTATTCATTTGAATGGCACCCCAAATGCAGCTCCCACCCATAGTTCGATTGCCCACACCGGAACGCGTAGTACCGCAATGCCGAGTGTTCCAGTGCGTGTGACTTGGGTCATGACTTAAAGGAGAACTATGGGGTCAGGGCTTTTCCCCATAGTTCTCCTAAAGCTAACAGGAGGACACAAACTAGCGTCCTCCCGTCACCCTAAGCTCAGTATACCACGAGCTACAGCTCGCGGTATACTTATACGCCGCAGCCGGAACGGATCCCGACATTGCTGTCGAGATCCACCCAGCTGCGGGATTGACAGCTGGCTCTGACTATACAGAGGCAGAGCTAGCTGTACTCGCCCCCTCCCCCGTCCGTTCCGCCAGTCAGCGCTGAAGGGGAGGGGGGGAATCCCTGCAGGGAGCCGTGAGTGACAGTCACGGCTCTCTGCAGGGATAGATTGAGAAGTGAGCGAGCGTCGCTATGTGTTCGCTCACTTCCCGATCTACTGAGCCGACGTGTGACAGTCTCATTGTCACATGTCGGCTCAGATTATGAGGCTGAGTGAAAATCACTCACCTCATAATTCTCCTTTAATGACCAAAGACAAATGTGGGTCCTGTGGTTACACACGATGAGAACCACTGGTTCAAAGGATATGATGTCCACACACCACGCTGCTTCAGAACATAATTTTTCTTGGTATTTCTTTAGCATGACATATAAGTGCAACGTGCCAAAGCCTCGCAGGACCTCTTCGTCAGGCAAAGTGTCCAGAGGGACCTGGGAAACCTGTGTCCCTCAATGCACTCCAAAAAAGGGATTTTAAAGTGAGTAGAAAAACCTTATCTTCTTCCTTGTCCATTGAGGGAAACAGGAAGTCTTAAACCCTCTTGATGCTGAAAAGCATTCCAACTGAGGGGTGGGCAACCCATCAAACAAACACTAACTGGCCCCAGAAAATGACAGAGAACTGACGACTGCTTACAACTCAAACAGCCATGTAAAGGACCATAGGGCCCCATTCACACCAGGGTGGTTGTGGATCAGCGCGGTTTCTGAGCGGATTTGAAAAGAGCGGTTTGGGGTGTTTTAAATTGCATTTCAGCGCTGAAACGCAATTAAAAACGCCCAAAACCACGCTCATTGCCTGCAGTCCGGTCTGGTCAGAAAAAATGCTGCATTTCACTTTAATATTATATCACAACCTGAGTGCTGAATGGACACTTTTTACCATGTGTGTGTCTTCCTTGCAGGTCAGGTGTTCAGTTATCCCGACTCTAACTTGGCTTTAGACCTTGGCCTTCTATTCCTCATGGCAATCATCGAGTCTTTGCGGTTGTACATGGGTAAGTAACAACGTATCTTGCTCTTGAAACCCTTTTTTCTCGCAGAAAGCTAAGCAACCAAGAAACATCCTAAAAATAAAATGTTTTTGCACATGGCTGCAATTATTTTTTCTGATAACTACGCAAGGTCCTGCGTAAAAAATAAACGGTGGTCTAATGGTCAATAAAGTTCATCCATAAAAGCTCTTTTAGACACATAAACATACAATGCATACAATCTGCAAAATTCTCCTTCCACACCTCTAGCTCAAAGAAGAACTCCAGGGGGAAATTATTATTAACCCTTGCAGTGGGGCTATCCCTGCATTGCAAGGGTTTACTGCTCGTTTTGGTCCTGGGAGGAAGATTAGAAAGTTATACTCACCCAGCAGTCCTTGGGACTGGCCGGCTGTGACGGAGCTCCCTCCAGCCTGTCTCCTCTTACGCTGCAGCAATTGAATGTCCCTCTGCATCCTCACATCCTATACACTGTGTATAGAATGTGATGATTTACAACACCTTAAGCTGGCCATACACCTTACAATTATCTGCAGATTTTCTGTGGTCAGATGGAAAAGGTGCAACGGATTCCTCCATCTACACTTAACTGTGAGGATGGAGTAATCTCCACCTGGGCCAATCTGTTGCACTTTTTCCATCTGACCACAGAAAATCTGCAGATAATTGTAAGGTGTATGGGCACCTTTAGACTGCTGCAGTGGAGGGGTAGAATGCTCGGAGGATCAGGTGAGTATAACTTTTTTGTTTTCCTCCCTACACACAAACGAGCACTTAACCCTTGCAGTGCGGTGGAAGCCCCACTACATGGGTTCATAATAATTTTCCCCAGAATCCTTCTTTAAATTTATGTGTGTATGCATTTACATGTGCCAATACCTAGCCAATTTTGTACTGGGGAATGGTCAATGCATTTCAAGGAACATTAATATTTAGGAAAAAGAGAGCATTTAATACTAGTTCAAGGTAAATCTCCCTAAGTAGACTTGGTTAGGGGGAAAAATTCGGCTTACATTCGGGACGGCTTATACTCGAGTATATACGGTATGCTTAAAATGAAACCCAGAAGAAGTATGCTTAAAATGAAAGTCAGAGAAAATACTTGTTCAGAGTCATTCGTTTAATATATTGAAGCCAAATCATCACCATGACAGCCATGCAGCTAGCATTTCAGCAGTGGCAGTCTATGGGGTCTATTCACAAAGCTGCCAAAGGATCCAGCCGTAGCTTCGGCTTCGGTTGTGGGAGCCTTTCGGCTCAGTCGAACCAAAGGGCTGCTGTACAGGCTATTCACTATAGCCAAGACAGCTGCAGAAGGCTCGACTGAGCCGAAGTGACACCTGAAGCAGGGCGAACGGCCGGGCCGAAGGCTGGCCATACGCCTCGCAAATGAAAGCTGGGTGGAGCCAGCCGTGGTCCAAATGACATGGAGACGCTGATCTGTCATTAAACAATGAAAAACAAGCCGGCCGTGACGTCACAGCCGGCTCCGCCCCATTGTTATTCATTGGCTGGAACCTGCTAGAAGACTTTAGCAGGTGCGGGCCAATAGGAAACAGTTGGGCGGAGCTAGCTGTAACTGCTGGCTCCGCCCAATTGTATTTTTTTTTAATCTTTGTTTTTTAATTGAATATTTATTTACATTTTTAACAATTTTAAAAAAACTTTTTAAAACTATTTTCATTGATTTGGTATTCGGCTTGGTACCACTGAGGTACCGAGCAGAATAGCCGAGCACCGGAGCTTCGGCTCAGCCGATCCAGATGTTGCAGAGCAGATGCACGTCGGTCAGCCGAAGCAGGGCCGGCCTTAGGCCTTTAGGCGCCCTGTGCAAGAAAGCTTTACAGCGCCCCTCAGTGACCACACCCCTCAGTGGCCACGCCCTCAGTAACCACATCGGACGAGGGAGCACTGTCATATCGGATGGCCAGCGCCCAGCGGTGAGGGGGAGAGAAGCCGCCCCCAGGACGAGCTGTGTCGGCCGCACAGCGCCCTTGTTGCCATGGCGCCCTGTGCGGCCGCACTGCTCGCACACCCCTAAGGCCGGCCCTGAGCCGAAGGACGGCTGATGTCAGCCGATGTACGTCTGAAATCAGCCATATAAGCCTGAAGGGAATAGCCAAACAGAGTTCGGCTCACTTCACTTCGGCTGCGTTATTCACTCGGCTGCTTTTGGCAGCTTTGTGAATATCCACCTATATATTTTCCATATGTCCTGTTTCCTTGTGAATCACATTCCATGATATATAAATGACCACTAGATGGAGCATCTGTATGTGAAAAACAATCTTCGAAATTTGGAATGTCAAAATAGTAAAAATGGAAAGAAACATATTAAAAATAAATTTCATATAAATGATATAACTGGAAATAAGAACTTTTTAAAATACACTATAGTTTCCCTTTAATGACCCCAATAAAAAGTATAATGTACAGAGACAAAGCACAGCACAAATGATAAAGTTCCAATGTAGCCTAATACACAATAGATTTAATTCTTCAAAATCCAGACAATTTTTCTTTTAGAGCCTACTAATCCATTGTTGGGAGATACACAGAGCACTAACAGACATCTCTTGGCTGCACTTGCTAGCATGCTGATATATTATTTACCAGTGATTGGAAATCTCAGGTATGGTGCTCCCTCCTGCTCTTGACACATTTTGCTTTAGGGCAGTTGTGTGGTCTCGAAAAAATCCTGTTGCATCTACGGCAGAATTGGATGTGCTAGGCTGGGGCAGGATATCAATTCTATTAGTAATACTTTTGTAATTATTTATTATACATTCCATGCATTGTAATCAAAATGGTCAGTTCTTCTTAATAAGAAAACTCTGCTTTTGGTAAGAAATGTTTAAAATATATATAATTGTCATGTGAGCCATTGTGTAATTTAAAGGAGAAGTATGAGGTGAGTGTTTTTCACTTATCCTCATAGTTAGAGCCGACCTGTGACAAAGAAACTGTCACAGGTCGGCTCAATAGATCGGGAAGTGAGCAGACACATGCCGCCGATCTGCTCACTTCCCGTTCGTCTCCTTGCAGTGAGTGATGACTGTCAGTCACAACTTCCCGCAGCGATTCCCCCTTTCCCTCTCCGATCCTCCGGCGCTGACTGGAGGAACGGACGGGGGAGGGGGCGTGCACAATTGGCTCTGCCTCTAGATAGGCAGAACCTGCTGTCACTCATGCAGCTGGGTGGATCTCAACACTATTGTTGGGATCTGTCCCGACTGCGGCGCTCTCAGTATATGGCGGTCAACAGCACGCGATATACTGAGCTTTGGGTTACGGGAGGAGGTTAGTTTATGTCCTTCCATGACCCTAAAGAGAACCATGGGGAAAACACTTACCCCATAGGTCTCTTTTAATGTTATTGAACATTTCCCTTCCATTTCAGTTGCAGCCAGCTAGTCCATGCTCCTCTAGATACAGAAAGCTCAATTTACAAAGCTAGCAGACCAGGATAAGGATACTTATTTTCAAAAAAGTGACAGTTATTTTCAGCTGCCAATGAGATCTGAAAATTATAGTCAGATGGCTACAAATACTGTAAAGCTATATGTTTATTTGTAACGCTTTGTGTATTTTCATCAATACCGGGGCAGACAAAATCCGGAGTAGTTATGCATGGCAACCAATCAGCTTCTATCTTTTCAAAGCTTAACTGAACAAACTAAGGAGAGAAGCTGATTAGTTACTATGGGCCACTGCTCCAGATGCGGTCTGTTCCAGTTTTTTAAATCCCCTCCCCCCATTGGGGAGGAAGCGGCTTTCACATTTTCTGCAGAAGACGTGTATCCAAACCTCTGCTTTTAACCTTAGTGGTTAGACAGGTTTTTTTGCATGCTGACCGGTTGAGTGTGCCTGGAAACTTTTTTCTGTTTTACTGTTTGAAGCCCTTCCGTGTGCACCTTGCTGTAAAGCTGGTAACGAATTGATGAGTGCGTTTGTCATTTGTTTTGTTTGTGTGTGTGTGTGTGTGTGTAGGACACTAGTAATTGGTAAAACAAAAAATAATGGGTTGTTTTATAATGGCTTACCACTCCTTACTTCCAGGTACTATGGGAAATTTAACAGAAGCAGAACTTCCCTTAGGATCCAGCCTGTTCTTCACCATTGGCAATGTGCTTCTGTCTGTATATTTCCTGGTGTGGGAGACGTACATCCTGAGAGCAGATCTCATCATAAATGGCATCTTGTTGATTCTTTATGGTCTGGAAGCAATCCTAGAAATTTTCACAATTGCTACATTTTTCCGTTAACATTGACAGTACATTTCAGTATAATAAAGGCTCTGATGTTCAGAGATGAGTTATAAATAACATGGAAAAAGAGGAACAAATTAATTATTTGCCAAATAGTAACAAGGTTTTTTTTATTTTATTTTTTGAGAAGGCCAATTGAAGCAATGTATGTCCTCAGTACAGGGACAGTACACTCCCTTTCAAGGAGCTGTAAAGTCCCAGCATATACTCTCCTCAGCATTGTAATAGGAATACATACTAGAGTTGTTTTTGATAATGCAATCAAAACTTACTTGAAAAAAATCCCTTTTATATAGTGAGAGCTGCCTTCTGTCTGCCCATCACTTTCACCAACTTCCTGGATTCCCAGTGTGCTTTGCATCTCTTTCTCTGCTGCTTGATATGATGCAATCTCAATTTCTTAAGACTACATGTCCCATCATGCATTGCTTCCAGCAAGAAATGATAATGTTACACTGTTAAGACGTTGAGTTGTAGTCCAGACGGCAGGCTCAGACGGCTGACACAAGGAGATTCATATTCACAAGGCTGAGTGAAGTGATGTCAGTGCATTGAAGATGTATATCATATGGGTATCTTCAATAAGTACAAACTTCTAGGTTGATATTGTTATTAGGAGTGGGATAGAACTTATGGAAATTCAATATAGAAATACAGATTTATTTTTAGTTTTTGTTCATAGATACCCTTTAAGTGCAACCTATAGGCAGCAATGGCAAATAAATAATTGTTCCCTGTATAGTTATCAGACATCTTTTTTCATAATCGCAGAAGTAGCTGTTTCATATAACACTAAATATCCACATTATCCCGCTATTGTAAGCAAGGTAGGACCATTATAGCAAGATAATGTTCTATATAAGGGCTTGTTCACACCATTTACAGACCGGTTCTGAATGCATTTCCACAAGTGCGTTTATGTGCATTTTTGACTCGTTTATTATGTGTTACAGTCCATTTTTTCTTAAATTGGTTTGCTTGGGTTTAAGCATGTTCTGGTGCATTTACATTTGTTTTTGTACATTACGGTGCAAAAAAAGCATGCTGCTGTACTTTTTTTTTTTTAAGGCCTCATTTACACGGGAAACGTCCAGCCCTTACAGATCCATGCTGCATGCACACCCGTATCGGGCCGCTCCTGGGAAGGACAGGTGCTGTGTGTGATTACACGCAGCAGCCTGTCCTTCTCTACGGGAGTACGCTGCCGTACGCAGACCCGAACTGCACATCCGTGCGGGTGTTCGTACTCGTACGCAGACAGGATGGATCCTGTCTGCGTCCGAGCAGGGACACCCGCACCCATATGGACGGGCAGGTGGGTGGGCGTAGGGCGGCGTACGGCCGCATACTCCCATAGAGAAGGACAGGCTGCTGCGTGTAATCACACACAGCACCTGTCCTTCCTGGGAGCTGCACGATACAGCCGAGCTCGCAGCACGGATCTGTACGGGCCAGCTGTTTTTCGTGTGAATGAGGCCTAAAAGCTCTGAAACTGAACTCAATGGTGTGAATTAGCCTCATTTAAAACCATTGGAATGACTGTGTATGTGTTTTTGGTGCAGATAATTCTATGTACTTGAAATCTGTCTCTTTGATGCCCCGTGTTTCTAACATCCATATATACAAGTTTTTCATTTATTTTTGCCCCTGTAATGTACCATTTATCATGAGTCTGTCAAGGTTCAGCAGGTCTGAACCTGAACCATGATGCAATGGGAGCACCCCATATTTTGCTCCTTGAAACTTAAGCTGACAGTAAGGAATAATGGCAAGTGTCCTTATAATTCTGGAATATACAGTATATATAATATAATAATGCAATAGGAGACAAATCTTGCTCCTTTGTAGTGTATGTACAGATTTCCTTAGACAAACACAACATTTATTTACATTTTACCTTTCACTAGATAACACATTGGAAACTTAAAATTGTTACCATACAGGATTCATAGAGCACCAACAGTTTGAGCAGCGGTTTACAAAACAAAAGGGAACAGTACAGTTACAAAGCAGGAGGGTTAGGAGGGCCCTGATCATGCGTGCTTACAATCTAAATGGAGGGACAAGTGACATGTCTGATTTACACTGGTAGTCTTTAACATTAATTTCTGTGTTGTTAAAAAAACCTCTTTCAAATATATGGAAATGTGATATTTATTTTTATACCAGTTTTGTATTCCACTTTTGTATATTATATCTGATTTATAATTGTGTTTTGTGACTTTTTCTATAAATAAATTACCTAATTACATTTTGAAATGATACATTGTATGAAGATGCATTATTACTGTATGTTACTTCCATACAGAAACTCCAGAAACGATTAAAGCCTAACTCTGGGTTAAATGTTTGCATTGTCACCTAAAGAGTGGTACAAAAAAACAGGTCTGGCTGCAATACTCCCCAACAATCTGAAGCTGTTCCCGCCCCCCTCATACCTCTTCTTCACCACAAGATTATCTCAGTCTTCCAGGTTAGGGGAGAGATATTGAGAGAGAAAAATGTCCTTGTCCCAATACTTAGAGCTGGCGTGTGACACTGCAGGCTCTATAGATCGAGAGATGAGCAATCACGGAGCTCTCACCGGCTCCTGCAGAGATTAATCTCTCTGGTCTTCAAGGGCTCATTGGAGGGACAGACAGGGGAGGGGGCGGGCACAGCTGGCTATGGCTCTACAGAGTCAGACGTCAATCAGGTAACGGATCCCGACAATATTGTCAGAATCTTTCCCGGCTGCAGCGCGACTCTATGTTGTCAGCAAATAGCAGGCAGTGGCTCGCTAGATGCTGAGTTTGTGTCACGGGTACATTATAAATATACTCCTGTGACCCAAAAGAGTGCTAAAGCCCCCAAAAAAGTTTGGCTTTAGTTCTGTATTAAAAGACGCCCAGGGTCACTTGGGCAGAAAGACTGAATGCAGAGGGTAATGGCATCGCCCTCTAAGAGAGCCAGGCTCATGCCAGTTCCACTCTCTGCATCGTCCAGGACCCCCCCCAGTGCCAGGAGATGTGCTAACGCACTTGTGATAATGCACCACCACTCCACGCAGAGATATAAAGGGATCCTAAAGGATTTGTAAATGAATACATAATAGGGTATTTTATATCTGCCTTTCACGTCTGCTTTAAACTAATTGAATCGCTTGTCACATCGGTATAATCATACAAATATAATATTATTATACTAAGTTACTGCCTGCTATTTGTGCAATGTATTATTAGAACCAGCAGGCGGCATATGTGGATGTTTCACAGTGTCTGCACCATCTTTTCTCTTTTCATACATAATCTGTATTTGCAATGTTCTTTGGCAAGGTTTTACTTCTATTATCTTATTATTATGAGGCCAACAATGAAACCCAGGAGACACTACTATGAGTCTACTTTAGTAAAGCAGAGCAAGGGGTAATAATAATGAGCAGTCACTCATAGTAACACGTCAAAAATCAGATTTCCCTAACCCTACTAGGATAAAAATAGACCTCTGTGCTTTGTTTTACTGCACTTTTTCTGTTGATCTTTGCACTGTTTTTTTGTATCATGAAAGAAGTATGTGGGGGGCCATTGTTGAATTCTCCTTCTGAAAATGATAATTGACTGGCTATCGTAGTGATACCCAGGCTTCATTGACAATTCCAGAAATGTCACCTGTATAGATATGATTTATATCTCCGTAGAGCAGATGTGTTCACACTATAAGAACAATATATTAGGGGTCTGATATCTCTGACACACAACAAAACAGTAGAAAGGCATCATGGCACACTCACAAACCAGCATGTAAAACAACTTGTCTCACCACTAAGGGTAATAACAGAGGTTTGGATACACGTCTTCTGCAGAGGATGTGAAAGCCGCACTGCCGCGCCAAGGCACCTCTTATAGTGCGGTCCTAACTCTAAACTTTGAGTGTCTCGATCTTGGAGCACATGGGGGCAGAAGATTTCAAATTGGGTGCAGGTTTGTCAGGAGGAAGCCCGTCCTCCTTAAAAGCACAGAAACACACAAGGGATCCCGCACATCCCAATGGCAGCTGAGAAACCCCATGCGTCGCTGCACCAAATCGGTCAAGCAAAACAAACGACAAACGCACTCAACAATGTGTCACCAGTTATACAGTAAGGTGCACACGAAATGGGCTTTGAACAGTAAAACAGTAGAAAGGCATCATGGCACACTCACAAACCAGCATGTAAAACAACTTGTCTCACCACTAAGGGTAATAACAGAGGTTTGGATACACGTCTTCTGCAGAGGATGTGAAAGCCGCACTGCCGCGCCAATGCACCTCTTATAGTGCGTGATATCTCTGACATACACATGATAATTTTTTATATACAGTCTTTCACATACTTAGAAATCTTCTATAAGATAGTTTGCATAGTTGTAAGTTTTGTAATGACACAGTGATATCTAAATACTTCCCTCGAAGAAAGTTAGTGTGTTATGGGTCACTGTAACGCTAAACACCAGGCAGTCAACAACAAAAATAACACGTTAATGAAGTTATGTATTAACTAATGGAAATACCTGAATTTGACCTGATATCAGCCTCTTGTAATCCCTTGCAATGTAACTAGAAAAGGGAAGGGTTGCATTAGGAGCCACATGGATGGGTCACTCCATAGGTGATAAGAGGAGAAGAGAGCAGAGGGAGGAGCTCATTAGTCTGCTGCTGCTCCATCATCTTCCAGTGACAGACTGGTAGAAGGGAATGTGATGGTTGTATAGCATAATTGCCGTAGCAGAACTTGCTTTGTTGTCTGGCAAGGCTGGGTAAATTTCAGAACTGGCTGGACTGAAATACAGATCTTTTGACAGTAGACCTGCTACTGTATATGTATTGCATTTGTGTATTTTGCTATTTGTGTTGCCTCAGTTTTAATAGATGCTGCATCTGCTCCCACATGTCACTATATTACAATTATATCATCACAGCTACATGGTAAAACAGCTATATTCAACTTGTATAACTATATATGTCTGTATACATGTTTATGTGTCTGTGGTACGAA